CATTACAATATTCTGTTCTGTAAGCAACACCTTATTTTCTGGCAGCGGCCCTGCCGGGACTAGACTCTGGATCTGCCCCTGATTAGTATACCCACATACCAGAGAGCATATATCAATAAAATGCTAAACATCTAACATAGTAGCATAAGTAGAGAAAAGGCTACAAAAACTAACATTGTTATGTACACTGACCTGAGCTATTTAAAATCATAGCAGCATGAGTACTCATCATCATCCTTCACCTAAAGAATGGAAGGTTCATTTATTGACACCCAAGTAATGCAATAGGTTCGAGCATAAAAGGGTATTGTGTACTAGAAATATTTTCTACTGCCTGGTTGCAGTACATCAGTTCTTTATCTTGTCTTTGGCTCAGAACCACACTTTAGATCTACCCATATTCTGCTAGTTTGTTTACCCAACCCCAGTTTTTTCATTAGATGTGTACGTTTTCTGACACAATTTTCACGTTGCAAGGGAATTTTTCCTTAGCTTAGTGCATAACACGAAGCTCTGCTGACCATCATGCAATCATTTGCAAACAAAAATACTGTTTTTTCATTTTCGTTGGGATTGGGTATTTTTTCCCTGTGACTTGTCACCAAATTCAGTTAGCTAAGGCAAAATTCCCTTGCAAAGTAAAACTTCACTATGGAAAGTGAACATGCTCTACTACTAAATCAATGGCAGTCTGTTTGCGCAACTCTGAACCTGTGCTGTCTGCCTCAGTCCCAGAATTTGTGTCTCTATCAAACTTACACCTCTTTGGCTGGCCTAGGTCTTAAACTTTAGTCACCTATTCTAAGCCCAGATTTATTATGATGTTGGCTCTATTTCTTTTTCTGTGGGAGAGTTAGCTCAACTGTCTCCACATTGCTCTTCATTCCAAACACTGTGTCCTCTCTTCAGGTATGGTAATGTAGGGGATCCCAGCGCACTCCTGACCGAAAAATGCCGCAACTTGCAATGGGGGGGGTGCTGAAATGACAGCGGATGCTGCCGCTCGATCAGATAAACAAAACTGTAAGTAACCAGCCTTCCAAAGGTTATTCATGCAACGTTCTTTTTATTCCAAGTGTAAAGTTACATCACCAAGTGTAGCAACATTATAGAATGCATCGGGTTCACTTTGTTTTGCCTGATTGAGGAACCCGATGCTTTTAGGAACCATGCTGGTGATGTAACTTTACACATGGAATAAAACGAACTTTGCTTGGAGTACCTTTGGAGTGCTGGTGACTGACTATTTTGTTTCTCTCTTCAGGTATGGGTTTCTGGGCTGTTCCATAAAGAGTCCACATCCTCTTTCTTGTATATGAAAGTACTATGACATTTGAGTAATATAGGTATACTGTTAGATGGTCTACTGATAGGTCTGGTTGAAATTCCTCTAAGGATATGTTCACATGGATGCTAAAAGGGGGGACTTAACATGTATTTTCAACACCCACATTGTACTCCCAGAAGTTGGTTCACAAAACATGTCCTAAGCTAAATGACTCAGTATATACTAGGAGGGCATATGCAGTGTAGGCAGAAAACTGTCCAGTAACATGAGCACTTGATGTGCTTCTGCATTCATTCATATGTGTGAACACACCCTAATAATTGCTACACAAATGCTCCCAGAGTAGTCACTGTGATTAGCTTAGAATCCAAATCCTACTATTACCACTGCTGCTAAATACTATTGTTGTTGTTTGTCTTCACAGACACGTAGATAAAATTATTTGAGTGAACGCATGCTCTATCTATGGCCCACAAAGCCCAGAGTTGAGCAGCTCTGTAATAGATTGCTACCATAAGCATATTAATTAGCTATATATATAGTCACATAATCCACAAACACACAAGTCATCTGCCATACATTTATATTTAAATTAGCTTACTAGCCTTAACATACTGAATTAATGTGAGGGAAGCTAAAGTATTCATATATTCATTAGTGTTCTGTCCTTTGTATTGATAATAAAATTGAAAAGATTCTACAAGGAAGAACCATTAAGCCGCTCTTAAATCTCAATGTTTGATCTTCTGAACAACTTCAAAAGTTAAAAAAAGAGAGAATAGCTCTTTTGAAAGTCAAATGGGCATGCATTTTTTAGCTTGCCAAGTGTTAATTGGTGCATGCTCTAAGCACTGGTACAAATGCAATTCTATGTCAATTAGCTAGCAATCAGGAACCCTTGCTTCTTGATAAAGTGCACTAGTATGTTATAAAGTATTAAAGGAACAATCATTACCACCTCATAAAAATCTTTACAACCTCGTCTTCTTAAGATGCTCTCACCAGCCACCTGGGCCATGCTCTGCAATCTTAGCCTGGCTGACTAATTATCACACTAAAGGAAAGTTGCTATCATTTGTTGTTTCATTATCAAAGAGTTGGGATGCTGGCTTCTAAGCCGTCCCTTCAGTGTGGCTCTAGAATGCATTTATTTTAAATAAGGTTTTTATTCAGTGCACCTGTATCATGTACACAGAGGAATTAAATAGAAAAGGAATGTGTAATCCTTCACATCGCTGTGTGTTCTACTTATTTAGCAAAAGACCTGTAATAAATGATATGCTTTATCTTTACATTATTAAGATATAAGAAGAGGGAATGAAGTTTAGAAAAAAAAATAGTTACACTAGATTTTAATATAATCACTATTTGGCGATAATACAAAATGGCTGATTAATAGGTGCATCTACTGTATGAAGTAATGTCTGCAGTCTGCACAGTAAAGACTAACCTCATATTTATGAATTCAGCCAAATGACACATATATCTTTTTAATTAATTACAGGCACATGTTTTTTCCTAAACTCTACTTTCCACAGTATATTTTGGAACTCTATCTGTTTAATTTGTCTAGTCAATACACTGAGCTGTTGAAGTAGTCTTTACATTTTGATGGCTGATATGCTTGAAGTTCCATTAGCATCTAACCTTAATCACTCTGATAGTCCTGGACTGTCATTTTATGGAAGACTGCCATGATCTATTTCCCCCACACAATAACTAGCTAATTGCTTTATTCACAGGAACTATTTCAGTTACAATGTAACCACAATAGTTCCTATGAAACAAAATAGAAAAACAACATTGACAGTATGGGAATAAGCCGTGATCCCCAAATCCCCAATATCCCATGATCCCAAAGTTCATCATGAACGTAATGATTCTTTATGATTCAGAATAAGAGCATTGAGACCGGACATACCAATTGATTTGTTTGTACATTTTTTAAGTAAGCTGCTGAAGGGAGGGATTTATTATCTATATTATATTAGATTTTTTTTAAATCAGCATTTTTATGGCTACTATACAACTCTCACCTGTTAGAAAACTTAATCACAAATTCATCAGCAGGAAACTGTCATCATACTTGACCCATATCAGTCAAGTAAGGTATAACTCCCCAAAATCCTGTACAAGCTCATGTGGCACTAACAATGCAGACAAAGACAATCCCAGTGTCCTTTAGTATCTGCCTGGTACTTTGACAGAGACTCCCTCTATCCTGGGGACACCTACTTTTTGGATAGTACCTACACTCCCAATCTGTGCTGCTATCAATATGCTTGATAGGTCTTCATTCTCTTGGCCGTACAGCCATGAGGATAGCATCCAATATGGCTAACTTAGCAAAAAAACCAGACATTTTATTTTTGAGAAAAGGTCAAAAAAGAAAAAAAAAACAGTAAATGGAACAGTGATGGACATAGCTTATGTTTTATCTCTGTCGGTTGGAATGTGATTTAACTGGGTTGAATCTCAAACCTGACATCTTGAATTGCTCATCTCTCTTTTCTATCTTTCTGCTTAAAATCACATACAATATGTTGTTTTAATTGTAATGTTTCCATGCCAGTTGATTTTAATCAGAAACAGAGAAAAGTTCAGGAACACTACTTTGTACCTTATGGAGATGCTATCACTGGAATGTCTGCAGCCTTCTTTTGAAATCTGAGCTGTATGATTATTCTACATAAATCCATTAGACCCACCTTAGGGGAACATACAGAACACGTTCAGTGCATAATGTAGCTACAACACAAAGTATATGCAGCAGACAGTGTGCCTATTTCATTTTAAAAGCATCATTTGTATTCTGAAACAGGTGAAAATGTCCTTATAAGCTGAGAAAATGATAACATCATACTACAGAAGAGATTAATATTACAGCTGTTGTGAGGATGACCTGCTCCATAATATGTATTAAGGATCAGTGACAATATTAGAAAAAAACATTCTACATATCTATAAGCTGTTGTTGGGTATTCTCTTACATATTCCTCTAATCCAAGCTCTTAGATAAGAGATTTAGCTTATTTTATCAGCAGGAAAATACCTTGCATTCAAGCGAAAGTAAGACATCAACATGACAATACAAAACACTTAAGTGAGAAATCAAATGGTATCCACATAAAAAACTTTTGTTTTAAAATGGCAAGCATGTATTCATTTCCATTTTTCGAACCAGCATATGTTTCTTTTTTGGTATCAAATTTAGTATTTTCCAATTTAATTAAAGTAGCATTGTGTTTTAAATGAAAAGTTGTTAAAATCATTATTATAACCCAGTTACAGCTCTGCAAAACCAACTTTGCAAATTATGGCGATAATTTATTAAAAGAGTAATTTTTTTACCAGCATGTGTTTACTTGAAATACAGATGAAACCCATTTTTTTTTTAAATTCCCCTGAACATGTTTGGATATGTATAATGACATAAACCCAGTGTACAAGTACGTTTTTTTATTATCTATAAGTCTATATTCTTCTGTGCTCACTGCATATAATATATTTTTATCTTTAACACAAAACTCGGATTACTTTAGGGTGGACTAGTTGCAAGTTATCTTAATGCTTCATATACTATTTCTCAATTTCTCAGTAGGAAATATTTAATTACATGCAGCATGCTGGTTTTCTTGGCCATTAGTTGCTCAGTTGCCTTATTAGGTACAAGTTCACTCATTATCAAATAAATATATTATATATTACTGACCTCAGCTACTGGGATCCCTTCTGGTGGACGACACTGCAAAAGAACTTCCTGTTCCAAAGACACTTCCTTCCCAAGAGGTTCTTGTTCGAAAGTCTTCCGTAAATCTGAAAAGCAATAGGGAGTTAGTTGATACCTTAGAGTAGTATTAAAGGCTGGGTGTTTTTGGCCTTAATACATTCTGTGCATTAAGGCAAAAAACACCCACCACTCTCCTAACACCCCCCCCCTTCCCACACACACTTACCTGCAGCAACTCGACTCCTCCCATCTGACCGAGAAGATACTCTGGTTTCCCCAAACTTCCTGGTTGTGGGAGAGGGTACCAAGGGCAGAGAAGCTATAGGCTCCTTCTGCTATCAGTCAAGCTGTGACTGTAGGGTGGGGGCATGGCCGGCTGCATGCTGTGTGTGTCTATGGACGCACACAGCTAGGTGCATGCACGTACAGGTACCTCCGCAGCAGTTGGCTAGCTGATGAAAGCACCTGTACGGGGGCGGGGGAAGGGGAGCCTAGCAGTCTGAATACCACTTGAGAACAAGGACATTAAAAACACTAAACGATAAAATAACATATTTTTATAGTAAGTCTGGCCACCATTAATAAAAAGATGAAAAAAATGAAGGTTTCATGTTGCTTTAGTATAACCTAATATATACTTCTTGTAGTGCTATTACGTGTGAGTCCTGTGCACCCAACACACCCAGTGCTCTTGCTTCCAAATCTAATGCCATGGCTTCCTGCTAGTTGGAGTGTCAATGACAGACAGATACTGCAAGCACCATTCTTCTCAGAAAAACGCAGCATGAAGCAAAGTGATAGCCAACCCCCTAGTTGCTGATAGCACTGGTGTGTGAAAAGGAGAAATATGTTGGTACTGACAAACAATATTCCTAAAAAAGTGTTGAACAGAACACAAGAAATTGCTGCAAAGAATTAAACAGCTTTGTTGTAAGAGATGGTGGGGTAACCAAGTTTTACCAAACTTGCCCATGTGTGTACAATGTCTGTGTGCCAACTTTAAAATTTAGTTTAATGTGTACTTTTATATTTGGTAGTCAAGTTATCAAGAGGGCTCCACCTCCCCTTCTCAATCATTAAAACTATCCATCATAGCCCCCATAGCTACTGTAGATGAAAGTACAATTCTTAATTACAGCCGTGTCTTATAACATTTTATTAAAAAAAGGTTGAGTTAAAATTAACTGACTGTTCCAAGAAATTCTAATATAAAGGTTTTTTTTTTAACCATATTAACTTTCATTTAATCACTTACTACTCTCTGGGAACTGCCCAGAAAGAAGATCTGCAAGCTATTACTTTAGAAATACATGGTAACCTTAAACAGCTCTGTGATCTCTGGTCCCTCCCTGTACATATTACCTTTGTTGTGAATAGTTTGGTGTTAATTCACAATCAGGTTATGAATGAACCTATCTGTCATATACCCACTGAAAGGAAATAGCACCCAGTTCGGCACTGGCAGATTAAATAAAATAACAACATATTTTCATTCAGTCATTTTGCAGTCAAGCCAGATGGTAATAATTTAGAGTTTGCTTTTTTGAAATTCCAGTAGTTTATTTCCGAATTCATTCGATTTTCAGTACAGTCGTCTGTTTATTTAACCTTCTTGTGCTTGTCACTGATTTATACAATGAAGGCACAACCTTTTGACCTGTGACTGGCACTCCTATTCTAGTTGAGTCATACCATGAAAGATCTTAACAATTCCAGTCATTATGTACATATGGTTTGAGGAGCTAAGAAATGTGACACCACTTTTTGTCTGGATTTTTGATGGTTTACTGGTGCTGAGAATACTTTCTTAACTACCCTCATCCATTATTCATATGATAGTAGCAGTCTGGTTTTATTCTCGACAATCAACACCCAAAATTAACATCGGTAACCACATGTTTTTTGTTTGTACGAATTTGATTAAGTTTTAGTTTTTCCATTCACATGGTGGATACATTTTTAATCCCTTTAATTACACTGATATAAAGCAATCAAATAATGTAGTCACTTTTTAACATGATGGAATTACACTGAACTATGTGCTGAAAGAAACTGCTTGGGAAAATGTGTGTGCCTGTGTTGAGCTACTTTTTAACATGATGGAATTACACTGAACTATGTGCTGAAAGAAACTGCTTGGGAAAAAACAGTCAACTTTCAAGAAAGGCAAACTTTGTCACATGATATGTCCCTTTAATTCCAATAGGAACAGATAATGTTTTAATGTGATGGTCTGTCACCCAGTTTGATTTTCCAGAGCCAGTCATACATACAGTTGTTAGCTGGACATTAAAAGCAATTAAAGTCTGAAAATTCTGTTTTACTCTTGTTCAGTGCACACTTGCAACTTATAAGTATGTGGCCTGTGACACTAAGCTTACAACAGCTCTGTGAATACAGAATGCTGCAGAAGCAGGTATGGTTTCCAATTCTGTTGCTCTATCTTTTATCTACTCAAGGTTTTTCCAGCGATGCCTTTAATGTGTTCATAAGCCTGTTAAACCTTTCCAGTTTACAGGTTTCATATATTTATTGTTTGTGACAGGACATACTTGTAAAAGAAATAAAGTATGAGGCTGATAAACACACATAGAACCATAATTGTGTGTTTGTTTAATATGGCAAGAAAATGTGTCATTCCTATGATGAAATTGCATTTTAAATAACCCTAACGAAGTCTCCACAGGGGTTAAAAGTGTCTGGAGAGGTATTTCATGGCATGTGGCTGACCTCCTATTAAATAAATATAAGCATCTTCTGTGGCAGACACATTTTTCACACATTCAAATTACTCCTCGGTTAATTCTATTACATGCTCAATGAACAGAAATGTTCAATACTTTTTCTGTTTTAATGGACTATAGTTGTAGAGTGCCGAATCTCTGGAGGATGAAATAATTTTTTTCTTAATCCTGTACAACAATAGTTGGTGATCAGTAAGGGAAAGGAAAAGTTTTAAAGCATATATAAAGTTAGCTAATTATGTCATCAGCCTGGGGTATGGTCTGCGCAAAAAGACCAGACCTTGCAATTATTGAAGGAGAAACTGCTGTCAATAGGAAACTTCCATTTTTAACACATTTCTATACCTATTCAAAATTACTTATGGTTTACTCTGCATAGTAAATCCATTTTAGAAAAATCATGAGCAACTCTACTATGGCCAGTAGACATGTTTCAGTGCATCATAATTATCTGTAAGAAATAGCATTATCCTTAAAACTGTAGCATTTTTTCAGCACAACAGGAAAATTATCCTGTTATTTTTTCCTTTGTTGCATAAGTTTTTAAAGGGTTTTTATTTTTTTTAGATAGCACTTAAAGTAATAATGGGCAACATTCTGCAACAACCAATCCAAAGTTGTCTTTTATCTGTCTGGCAACATGACAGTAAAATCTAATTTCTAATAAATTCTGAGTTCTCCAACAATCAAACACCTGTCCATTTATCAAGTTAGCAAGCCTACATTGCTCTATTGTAAACATGAGTGTTTGTTTCATAAAATGTAAGTATATTGATTCGATATAACTAACGACTATAACTATTAAGGATATTCTCTATTATGTGCCTTCTTCAATATTCTTTTTACTGAACTGGAATCATCCTAAGGTTGGGTTAGGAGGGTATACACAATGTTCTATTTATTTATTTTGGTATGATTATTACCACTAACCTATTTTTATACTAACATGACACAGAAAGCGGCAAACATATCACTCATTTAAGAACAGGCATTGAAAGGACAAATGCAGGACTTTAAAAATGATTGATTTCACCTCTGCCTTGAGGATGAACCATGTACATGTAAGAATTGATGCATTACATCAATTAATCTAGTCCAGATACAACTTTATTCCATTAGGGTCAGGAGGAAGTTCAAGTAGAATAGCCTACATGTTGGTTATTCTACTATAATATCCCCGTGACCCTAACAGAATTAAGTTGTATCTGAACTAGTTTAATTAGTGTGGTGCTTCATTTCCTATATCTACTGCATTCACTGACAAGCCAAGGATACTGTGGAGATCTTTTGGATTGTGGATGCTGTCTACCGGTAAGCCAGATCACACAAATACACGCCACTTAGAGTGACACTAAACTCAGGAGTTCAATCCTAAAAATTAATTCAAGTACTTTAACTATGAATAAAAATGGATCTTATCTGTACATCACTCGGCTGTAGATCCTCAAATCATCTCTGAATTCATGCTGGCATTGTCCTTCCTTCTGGAGGGTGGCTACTTTTGTTCATCATGGTCCCTCTGTGTGTGATAAAGTAACCACCACTTCAAGCTCGTCCCATGATGGACTACAATCTCAATACAAAGTAATCTAAACGTGAGATTGTAGTCCATCACAAGAGTGAGCAGTGGCTACTTTACAACACACGGACCATGAGGAACAAAAATAGCAACCCTCCAGAAGGAAGGACAGTGTCATCACCAATTCATAGATGATTTGATGATTTGTGACTGAGTGATGCAGAAATAAGGTACAGTTTTGTTAATAGTTAGGATACTTGAATGCATTTGTAAGATTTAACTCCTGAGTTTAGTGTCACTTTAACTACTGTTGGATAAGTAGAACCAAGAAAATAACCACACGGTTTCAGCACTTTCTTTCCACAGTTCTAACTGCAAGATAAACCATAAGCATGTAATACATTTATTTACAGTATACACTGCCATCATCACCAGCCCCCCACCCAGCCAACTGATCTCTAAACTTCTAATACAAGTTGTGTTATACTTATCTCTGGTACCTGGAGGTAGCCAGAGCTGTGAGGACATGTGGTTGCTCAGAAAAAGTGGAACCTGTGTTCAACAGAGCCATAATCCTATGTGTTCCCCTTGTTTTTTGAAATGTGTTATACTTATCTCTGGTACCTGGAGGTAGCCAGAGCTGTGAGGACATGTGGTTGCTCAGAAAAAGTGGAACCTGTGTTCAACAGAGCCATTGATTGGTTAGCTTTGCCTGATCCTCACCCTTTGTTAGTATCCATATCTTGGGTGCTTTTGCTATGTTTAGGTACTGGCAGCTGGTGGGAGGCTGCAGCAGGCAAGAATAAGGGTGTTGATTATGTGTCGGTATTTGTAAGGTAAAATTAATATAAGTTTATAATACAATTAAAGACCCGTGATAATAAGTGAATCTGCTATTTCGATCTGCAAATATTTCTACAAGCTGATAACTATTGTTTTTAGTTGCCTTACACAGCAATCACATGTGAATAATTGCATTAAGTATAAATGATCAGTCTATTTATAGTGTTAAAGTTAACATAATTAAACAGTGTGGCTGATACATCATTTGTATGTGCCAGTTTATCTGTCGAATACTACTTCTGTATGCGTGGTTCTGTGATGACTGGAATATTCATTAATAACAAGATGCAAAGTTAAAATAGAAACTAAGAGTCAAAATGTTTATTTCACAGAAATATATTGCTACTAACAAAATTGTGCCTGCTCGGGCCAATGTGCCAATGTGTTTGTGTTAGAAGAAAACACGTTAAAACATTAGACATTTTCTGACTTGATTGCATGTAAAATACTCCCCAATGATTGTAAAAAGTGATGCCAACCCCATAAATAACATTGACTCTGTTATCACTTTTGTAAAATGTAACCAGTTTGGGAAGTAGTAAGGTCAGCTATCATGAGTAATACTACTCTTGCTGAAAAATAAATAAGATATCAGATTTTTCCTTAGAGATCTATGTTTTGTTGCCTTGTTTTTCTTACACCTTCACTGTATAGTTTACAGCATGTCATTGTAGGGAGAGAGATGACGATGGGTCTGGAAAAGAGAGGGGCCATTGAGTAAATTTCTTTCCAAAAATTAGGATGTTGTATTTGTTACCTTCCAAATGGAATGTTATATAAATGATCCCATATGTTTCTTTTTATCTTGTTACTGCTTCCTTTTTGCATCAAATACTTGTTTTCATATTAAATTCCTCTTAGTTTTTCAACACTCACAAGCATTTAGACAAAGGCACAATGTTGCACAGATAGAAAGGAGACTGGGCAATAGCAATGAAAATAAGGAACATGAATTCTAAGGAAACAGAAAATGCTGGAAAATGTTGTTTCTTAGGCTCTTGTGAAAGGCGATACATTCTTTGGATTGAATAAGTAATGTAATTCCTTTATATATGACAACTCAGACATTTCTATCAAGATCTGTGTACACAGGCTATTGTCTTAGGGATTTGACCCCATTTGAGGATGTCTGTATGAATAAAGTGGGGAGCAAACATTTAAAGGGTAATTCACAAAGCCGCCTAGGGATCCAGCTGTAGCTTTGGCTGATCCTGTGGCTCGCTTCGTTTGCGGGAGCCCTTCGGTTCAGTTGAACCGAAGGGCTGCTGTACAGGCTATTTGTTATAGCCTGTACAGCAGCCGAAGGTGGCCGAGTGGCTCAGCGGAGCCGAAGGTATATCCTTCGGATTGACTGAGCCGAAGTGACAGCCGAAGCGGGGTGAACAGCCTGTCGAAGGCCAGCCTCTCGCCCCGCAAATGACAGCTGGGCGAAGCCAGCTGTGATCTTGCGGCTGGCTCCGCCCAGTTGTAATGACAGATCAATGTCCCCAAATGACTGGGGGGCGGTGAACTGTGATGTGACGTCACGGCCAGCTCCGCCCAGTTGTTATTCAATGGCCGGGACCTGATCGAAGACCCTAGCGGGTGCCAGCCAATAGGAAACAGTTGAGCGAAGCTAGCTGTCACTGCTAGATCCTCCCAATTGTTTTTTTTTTTTTTCTTTTTAAAAAAATCTTTATTTATTTAAAAATTTTACTATTTATTTAAATGTTTTACATTTTTTCAACCTTTTAAAAAAAATATATTTTTGATTTTCTATTCTGCTCGGTACCGAGCAAAATATACGAGCCGAACGCGGCATTCACTCACTGCCGTTCAGCCCCTATGTGAATAGGGGCAAGCGGCAGCCAGCGAGAAACTTTAAATTATTAATAAGATGGTACAGATGTCCAACAGTAATGCAACAGTAACAGTAATGCAACCAACATGTTTGCAGCTGCAACAGACTGACGTTTACAACGTCTTCCTC